CAGTGGAGAAACATGACAGACACCACCATATACAGACACCATAACCAATATAATTGAGGTTCTCCCTGTTGGCAGGAGCACAGACAGTATGTACTTCCTGCTAGAATGTCCCAAGGACACATCACTAGTGTGGTCTTTTACCAAAGATGCATAACATCAGTCTACTCCTGAGAAAATCCAGGGCAAGCCCAAATCAAGGGATATCCTACATAACATCAGGTGAACACTATTCAAAAACCTCAAGGTCATAAAAGACCAGGAAAGGGTGAAGGAAACTTGATGACTAATGACAGTGTGAGATGCTGGCTTGGATCCTGGAAAAAAATAAAGACAAGTACATGGTGAAATCAAAATGTTTAGTTCATGGTATTGTACCAATGTTAATCCCTTGGTTTTAATAATTGTACCATGATAATGTAAAATGTTACCATTAGAAGAAGCTAGGAAAAGGGTATATAGAAATTCCTTGTAAGCTTATAATCCTTCTGTAAATTTATGTTACTTCAAAATAAAAGTTTTAAAAATGTATAAAGGACAAGTCCTGGATTCAATCTCCAGAAAGAGGGGGAGGTAAATAAACCTTCTGCCAAAGAGAATATATAGATGTCAAATAAGCAAATGATAAAAACTCCACATTATTAGTCATTGAGGAAATGCAAACCCAAACATCTATGAGATTCAAGCTAGACTTAGACTGACCACATCAAGTGTTGACAAGGATTTGAAGCAACTAGAACTCTCATACACAGATAGTGTGAATGTACAATGGTACAACTATTTTAGAAAACAATGTGGAAATTTCTTTAAAAGTTACACATACATCTAGCATATAAGTAAGGCAATTGTAGGTATTTATCCAAGAGAAATAAAGACATCTGTTCCTATGAAGATTTGTACATGGCTATTCATAGCAGCTTTTTTTTGGGTAATGGTCAAAAACTCAGAACAACCCAAAAGGCCATCCCCTATAATTTTTACTTTGTTCACACAATAAACAAATACTACTAGAATACTACTCAACAATAAAAAGGAATAACCAGTGAAATACACATGATAACATGATGCATTTCAAAATAATTATCCTTAGTAAAAAAAGCCAGACCAAAAAAGAATACAACAGGTATGATTTTATTCATATAAAATTCTAGGGGGCTGGGAGTATAGCTTAGTGGTGGTGTATGTTTAGCATGTGTGAGGACCTGGATTCAGTACTCGGCTAAAAAAAAAAGAAAGGAAAAGAAAAACCTGGGTGTGGTGGTACATGTCTGTAATCCCAGCACCCAAGAGTCTGAGGTGGGAGGATCACCATGAGTTCGTGGCCAGCCTGAACTACGTAGTGAGATCCTGTCTGAAGAAAAAAGAAAAAAATGCAAACTAATCTGTAGCGTCAGAAAGCAGATTAATACTTGCCTGGGCACAGGAGTTTCGGGGGAAGGTGGGGGTAAGTGACAAAGGAACAAGAGGAAGCATTCGGGGTGATGAATGCGTTCACTGTCTTGATTATGGTGATGGCTTCATAGAAATATATATTTATGTCAAAACTCATCACATTGTTAACTTTGAATATATGCAGATCAATCTCTCTCAACCTGATCTAATTACAGCTATTAAAATGCATAGATGAGGGGCTGGGGATTTAGCTCAGCGGCAAAAGCTCCTGCCTGGCAAGCGCAAGGTCGTGAGTTCGGTTCCCGGTACCGGAGAAAAACCAAAAAAAAAAAAAAAAAAAAAAAAAAAAAAAAAAAAAAGCATAGATGAGCTCCAGGAACCTGTAGGAATAGCAGGATCAGTTTACACCAGATGCTAAATAGATGCAAACTAGGTATGGGATGGCACATGCTTCACCAGTTATTAGAGGGAGCTGATAAAATGCTTATGGGCTTCCCAGATATTAGAATTTCATGTCCTCAAACAGGGAATCCCTCAAAGATCTGAGAGAAGTGGTCCCTGCGTTGCTGGGATTGAAAATAAAATGAATGCAGCCAGTAGACCCCTGTAGTTCAAACTCCTGAGGGAGAGGGTTTCTCTCGTCCCTTGCTCGGCAGAGGGTTTGGTGGTTGCAACAAGTGGGATGTTCATTTTTAACTGGCTCTGAGTTTCATGGAGGTGGTAGCTTCCCAAACCACAAATTCCAGATTCCTACTCCGGTTACTCTAATAAGAACTAGGCTGGTCCTTTAATCCCTGTTTAAAGGGCCTATGTTTGTTGATGCCATAAAATCTGAGGAAAGGGTCATAAATCACTCTTCTGCTGGGTCCAAGGCAGGAGCTCAGGGCAGGACTCAGAATGGGGCAAATGTAGGTGGCAGTGCTAGGAATCTTAGCTTTTTCTCTGGTGTTTTTCTGCAGAAGCATTCTCCTGGGGCCCTGTGCTAGGAACCTCTGTTTGTCCTTCCGGACCTAGCTCTCTACTCTGCATCCCACTCTGTGTCTAGAAAGAGAGGTGCAGCAGAAGTGCCTGGATCACCTTGCCCTTGACTTCCAGCTAGGTTCACCCAAAGGGCAGCACTAACATGGAATCAGAGAGAAGAGGGAGAGATTGGGAGTTCATCCCCAGCTCCTGCCTTGCCCTGCCACTGTTCCACACTGACGGTGTTTTTCTGTTTAGGGCAACAGCTCTGGTCAGGTGGCAGGTGTTTCCTCTCTCAGGACTACAGCCCCCAACTGGTTCCAGCCCAGCCCCAACCCCCAACCCAACCCAGTCCCTTCGGGTGTACAGAGGGAACAGCTTCTTCTGTGGTTTTTTTTTTTGGGGGGCGGGGGAGTACCGGGAATCGAACTCAGGACCTTCTGCTTGCAAGCAGGCACCTGTGCCACTGAGCTATATCCTCAGCCCTAGCTTCTTCCCTTCAATACACTCTGGTGCTTTTCTTTCTTTTCCTTTTTTTTTTTTTTTTTTTTTTGAGACAGGATCTCACTATGGAGCCCAGGCTGGCCTCAAACTCATGGCGATCCTCCTGCCTCAGCCTCCCAAGTGCTGGGATTACAGGTGTGCAGCACCATGGCTGGCCATAGTTCCTTTTCAAACTCTCATTGAGCTCTATTGAGTCTGTAATCCCTCTTCTACTACAACTCTGATGGATACAATTTCTTTTTTTCTTTGGGGTACTGGGGATTGAACCCAGGGGCTTCACACTGAGCTACATCCCCATTCCCCACACCTTTTTTTAACTTGGAGATAAGGTCTCACTAAGTAACCAAGTTGCTCAGGCTGGATTTGAACTTCTGATCCTCCTGCCTCAGCTTTCCCAAGCGCTGGGATGACATGTGTGCCATCACCGTGCCCTGCTTGACTGACACACCTTGACAGCCACAAAGAGCGCACAGATGTACTTCACCTTTCCGACAGGAGCCCTCCTAAGGGTCCCGACCGGCCCTCCTCTCTTGGCCTGGGCGTTCATTCCGTCTCCCTCATTCTCTCCCAGGGTCCTCTGTCTCCATCTGCCCTTCTGTCTCCACCTGCCCTTGGCCATATCTATACTGATACTGCTCTCTCTAAACTCGTGAAAGTTTTCTTTCTCAGCCATCCTGCAGTGCTCCCTACTCAGTTAATGTCACCTGGCCAGGAAATTTAGGTGACATCTGAAACCTTTCCCCAGAGGAACCCAAGGGGAGGCCATACTCCCAAAGCTCGGATAGAAACTCAATTCAAGGAAAGGTGAACCCGACCTTCCTCCTCCATACGCAGATGTAGCCTCAAGGAAATTCCTCCTCCGCCTCCAGTCACTTAAATCCTCCCACTCCGAAGCTGTGGCACCGCTACTGCCTCCCTTCCCCCTGCGTTCACACCCATTCACAGAACCTCCTCTCCCCTCTGATCTACACTCTGCCTCTTTTCTGCCGCGGTGTCTCCCCAGGGTTCCCTCCCTCACTTCCACGTCGCCCTCATAACCCAGTCCCTGCAATTCCAGCCCCGCAAAGCCTTCAGCGGGTGCTCAGTGCCTGAAAAACGTCCGCCCTCTCCTTCGCTTGCTTCTCTATTGAATGTGATTTCTTTTTCCCCCAGTCCTAGGGATTGAACCAAGTGCCTTCGTACCAAAAGACATCCCTGCCTTTTACATTCATTTTTTATTTTGAGGCAGGGTCTCACCAAGTCAGTAAATTGTCCACTCTGGGCTCGAATTTGCGATCTTCCTGTTTCGGCCTCCTGGAGTGCTGGAATTACAGGTGTACACTATTATGCCCAGCTTTAATTTACCAAAGCTCTTAATTAAAAAAAAACAACAACAACACAACACTGCGAGCAAGGCTCTGTGTTCCACCGCAGCACGGCAAAAACAAAAAACAAATGCACGTTTGCATCAATGCAAATACAATGCTTAAAGGTGCCATTCATCCTTTTGGGTTTCAAAGATTCCTTTTTTCATCCAAACTGACGTTTGATGGGAAACCTGAGGCTTTGCTGAGCATCTCCACTGAGGAGCTATGCTCAATGAGAGTAGGAGGCAGGAGCGTGCGGGGTTCGGAGAGAAAGTCCCACAGATCCCGAAGGTCGCAGCGCTCCGAGATCGCGGCTCCGCGACCGTCAGCGAGGGTCGCGCGGGGTCCGGACGCGGGAAGGAGCAGACCAGGAGTTCCAAGCCCGTGCGAGGCCGGCCCTCCCCGTCCCAGGCCAGGGAGAAGGCAACCGGCTACTCCCAGACTGTCGAGATGGCCAGGAAGGGCCCCCATGCCGCCCCTACGCCGCCCTCACTGCCGGACACAGCGATGCCTACCACAGGAGCCAGAGCAGCGCTGGCGACAGCGCACGGGAGGCGGGAGCGCAGGCGCGGTGCGCCGGGCGTCGGGGGCAGGTCAGGGCAGTCCATCAGGCCCCGCCCCCCGCTGTGGAGGGCGGGATCGTGGTGACAGACAGGCTTTTGAACCAATCACAATATGTCTGTGTTCCCTAGGGGCCAGATGGGCGGAGCGGCTCCAGAGGGTTGGAGGCGTGTGGGGGAAGCCTCTGGATGAGGGGCGGGGCTTCACGGAGATGGACTGTATTTCTAGCCAGTGGGAGACGGGAGTCGTCCCGTTAGCGCCGGATTCCCGCGGGTAGGGCGAGGCGGACGGCGCCTTGGGGATCCCGGGGCCGCTTAGGGCCGCTCTTGACTCGGCGCGGCAACATGGATCGGATGGCCAGCTCTATGAAGCAGGTGCCTAACCCGCTGCCCAAGGTGCTGAGTCGGCGCGGGGTCGGCGCGGGACTGGAGGCTGCAGAGCGGGAGAGCTTCGAGCGGACTCAGGTAAGGACGGGGGCGCCTGGGCATCTCTGGAGCATCCCCAGCGACTCCGCGGCCCGGACGGTGTTGGAAGAGAGGAGCGGTCTTGCAGGCCAGGAGGGGACCCTGCAAAGGGGCCGTGAGCAGGGGCATCTGGCGCGCGGACGAGGCGGACGCCGGGGTCGGGGACCCGGGGACACCCCTGCTGGCCTGGGCAGCGAGCGGGGCGGCGGGACCCACGCTTCTGAGGGGACCCTCGCCAGGAAGGTAGCGGGCAGGGTCACCCGGAATGCGGGAGGGGAGGGCGCCGAGAAGAGCGGTGCCCCACAGGCAGCCGCTTGGATTGCCAAGTGTGGGGGCGCTGGCCTGCGGACGCGAAGGGTGAGGGGACCTCTTTTCCCCTCTCGGTCGCCTCTTGGTCGCGCCCATTTCTCCCTGCGCCCTGAGCACCCCCTTCCCGGCGCCTCTTGCTTGGCTCCCTCCAGCCCCAGCTGTCCGCCCTCCGAGAGCCGAAGGGGTCTGAGTGCAGAGAAGGAATGTAGGAAAACGCGAAGTGCGGCCGAGCCTGGAGAATGACTCGGGGCTGGAGGGGGGGCACTCGGAGTGCCGAGCCCCACTCCCCGTTGCTTGTTAAGGATGAGCTCCCGGTGGTGTCTAGAGCCCAGACCTGGGGTTTTGGTTTCATCCCCCAAGATGTGCCTGACAGCTAGTAGGCAGACCGCCCTATTTGTCTGGCCTGACCAGGGCTGGGAGCCAAAATTCCTCAGTGTTATCAACAAAAAGCCACAATCCATTTTTACCTCCGAGTTTGAATGCTTGGTGTATTGATTGGACTGAATCAAGCAGACATGTTTACGGTGTTCATCAGTTCATTTGTATGTAAAATCCATTTCAAAGAGTACAACACTTCTTTTAATCCCAGTGCCGAAGTTGTATGGGCTGATTTGTTCTCTGCTTTTGCTCCCAGTGGGACCTTTGAAGATCTAGTTGGGTTTCTCCTGCCAAGGGCAGGTCCTCTCTCCCTTGTGTTCTGCAAGTAGAAAAGATGGAAAAGATAGTGAGGGCCGGAGTGTTCTATAAATGGAATCTTGCAAAGAATAAAGCTTTTCGCCCGGGGGTGGGGTGGGGTGGGGTGGGGTGGGGAGGACTTGATCCTTCTCTGATTCCTAAAACCTGTGGCCACACCCACAAAGGGTTTGGCGGGTTTTAAGTAGAGTCATCCTATCTAGGAGGGGAGAGAGATGGCCTTTCACTGTACCTCCCAGGGGCCAGCTGGGTTTGGGGGTTGTTTTCTGGCTTTATGGACTGGACCTCTGAAAAGAACAAAGCTTGCTTTTGGCCTTAAATAGCTGTCTGGTCATGTAAGACTCTGCTCCACAAAATTATATATATATAATATGTATATTATGATGTTATATAAATTATTGAAAAATAAATGGTTGTTATAAGAACTTACTTCTGGAGTGCTGGATAGGTAGAAACTGCAGCAATAGAGAAATATGCTCTGTAATGACCCACTGTAATGATAGTGTTTGACCCACTATAATGATAGAAGTTAGGTTTGCGAACGTTCCCAGACATGACTGGCACATCACCTAGCTGTCCAAGGATAGCCCAGCAGGGAGAGCGTAGGTGTTTTGCAGTATTTTACATTCTGTGAAACACTTGTTCTTGGCCAGATCTCAGCGTGTGTGTGTGTATGCACACACACAGGGGATATAGTTTGGAACAGAAAAAAAGTTTTCTGTTGTTGAAACTGTGGAGGGGGGGAGGAAAACTACCATCCTAAAACGTAGCATTAGTCAATCTGCAAAAATGTAACTTTTTTACTGGCTACCCATCAAATGTATTATGAGATATAAAAATGAGTTAGAAAAAAAGTTTAATGAGTTAAGAGACCAAGAGAATCACCCAAGGTATATGAAGAATTTAAACTAATTATGGTGTTCAGCACTATTCTAAATATAGGACTTTATTGTATTACTTTCTTTAATCTTTGATGAGGACTTAGGTGGGTATCAGGCATGCGGTACTGCGAGGAAATTGAGGCACCGAGAGGTTAAGTAACCTGCAGGAGGTGACACAGGTGCGAGTCCAACCTTTTAACCACTGTGTGCAGTGCCTTGGTACCCAGCAGAGCCTTGGCACTGAAGCGAGAACACATTTCAGATTTGTAGCCCAGCACGTGTGATGTGTATGGGCCATGTGTCCTCAGGCAAATTGTCTGACCTTTCTTTTTTTTTGGTCTGGCCTTTCAAAGCCTTGGTTTCCTTATTGTAAAATATGGATAATATTTACCTTGCAGGTTTATTGTGGGGATTAAAGTAAATGATACATGGGAAGGCATTTTGGGGACGGTGGGACAGCATTTCAGTGATTATTATTATAATCTGGCTGAGGAGAAGGTACAAGCATGTAACTGACCATGCAGGCTCTGATGAACTTTTCTGTAGAGCAACGGAAGGCGCCAGGATGAAAGCTGGACTGCCAGGCTGCAGGGTGGGAAAAACTCCTGCATGAGTTAGCTCTTGCCTCGTGGGGAAGAAGGGACAGTATTCCAGCAATGCGGAATGTTAGAAAGAAATGCTAGAGTCAGAAACACAGTGGAAGTGGGTACAGAGGAGGCTGATGGGCTGAGACTAACCGAAGGTGACATTGGCCGGTCTCAGTCCCCTGTCTAGTTACCATTTCTCTCTGTGGCCCTCAGTAAACGCAGCTTCCTGAGGCCACTGACTGCCTATGTCCTCCGATGCTTGAGGCTTGCAGTAAGTGGCAAAGGGACTGTAGTCCAGGGTAGAACATTACTGCTTAGCACGGGCAGGGCAGCCCTGGGCCTAGGTGGGCACCTCAGCTCTGGGCCAAAGGAGACACCAGTAACTGCCTGATATTTTTTCCTGATAGCCCCAAGTTCCCTCCCCAGCCCAGCTTTGGCCCCCACGTGCAGTCAGGTGCCTGACATCCTGTGTCCCCTGCCTGGGCCCTCAGCCATCCTTACTTTCTCTCTGCCAACAGCCTGTTCCAGGAAGCCTTCACCCCTTCGCTCCCTTGGAACCAGCCTGGAACCTCACATAGCCACTGTCCCTTCTTGGGTGGGGTCAGCTGACCTACCTTTGGTCCAGCCACTGCCATAGCCCCCATCTCCAACCTCCCTGCTCAACATGTGACAACTTTCAGGTATTAGGGACATGAAAAGTAGCTCTCGCTCTTCAGGAAAGTTGCTGCAGTGGTAGCTCTCCAACGCAGCACTTTACAGTTTATAAAGCATGTTTTTAGCCATCACCGGGGCTGCGTGATGGTTAGATATGATCCTCGTCATCTTCTGGATGAGAATGTTGTGACACAGAGTTTGACACCTTCCCCAGAGTCATCCTGCTGGTGAGCCACAGGGTGGAGATTCAAGGCCAGGACTCCAGGCTCCAAGTCACAGGCCCGGTCCACCACACTGTTCTCACAGTCGCCAGGAGGGCGATTCTGGAGTGAACCACGAGGGCTGCCAGTCACGGACAGACAAAATACCCTGACGGTATTTACTGAGCCGGAAAATGGTTTTCTCTATGGTTTGTTTATTTTTCTAACATCCATTTAGGAAGCACATACCGTGGAGGGGACACAGATGAGCAAGCTAGAGACCAGCCCCAGAGGAGTGTGAGTCAGCAGGGAAGTGGACCAGCCACGCGGGGCTCCTAGGTGGTCAGAGGACGGGCCATACCAGCGTCACCGCAGCCTTAGGACCAAAGCAGGATCTCGGGCCCTGCCTGCACCACCAGTTTAGAGCCTGCCTTTCCGCCAGCACTTCACAATCTGCTCGATGCTGCTCTGTGGTGGGGGAATGCTGGGGTTCTGGGAGAGGACTCAGCCTTCAGACTCAGAATGTCTTTGAGTGAAGCATAACTCAGAGTCAAGGATCGCAGTGCGTCATGCACCAGGAAGAGTCAGGAGAGTTGGGTTCTACAGAGGAAGAGAAAGAAGTATTTCTTGAGGGCCTGCTGGGTGCTTGGAAGCTGCTAGGTGACTTAGATCCGTTATCTCATTTAGGATCTCAAGTTCACATTCTTTGTATCTTGATAGCTGAGGTTCAGAGAAGCTCAGTGACTTTTCCATGGTCACACGGTGAATAAACAGAAGCCTCAAAATCAGATTGGCAGGTAGGTGTTGTGACGCATTCCTGTAGTGCCAGATATAGGACAGGAGGCTGAGGCAGGAGGAGCACATGAGCCCAGGAGTTTGAGGTCAGCCTGTGCAACATAGTGAGACCTTGTCTCAGAAAAACAAAAACAAACCAGATCTGGTGGTACACACCTGTATTTCCAGCACTTTGGGAGGCTGAGGCAGGAGGATCACAAGTTTGAGCCTAGCCTGGGCAACTTAACTAGACCTTGTGTCAAAATAATAAAAAAGGGATGGAGTTGTAGCTCAGTGTGAAGGCCCTGGGTCTAATCCTCAGTACCACAAAACAACAAAACCAACAAAACATAAACAAAAACAGATGGCCAAGTCCTTTGTCCATGTTGGAGTTGGGCGTGTTTCTGCCATCTTGCTCATGATGTCAGCAGATGCTCAACTTTAGGTTCCCCAGCTGAAAAGTTTTAGGATGAGACTCGAGGATCAGTGTTTCTCTATCCTGGCCACCCGTTAGAATAATCTGGAAAACTCTCTTAACCGAATACTGTTTTCCAGGGCTGACTATGCAGGGACTCTGTCTCAGGACACCTGGGGTGATCACTGACAATTTGTAAAGTCCCCAGTTCTCTTGTGCAGCCAGGTAAGGGGACCACTAGCCCTGGTGCTATATGAGCTCTGGGATGGCTGCGTCCAGGTTATACCCAGGAAACTAAGATGTCCCTGTTTCCCTCGGGTCAAAAAAAGCTGAGCCTTAGGTTTGTTCTCTGCAGACACACGCTCAAAGCCAAGCACTGTGCTCACCCCACTTCTCTTTTACCATCTTCTCCTTCCTCCCCGCCGCCATGGCTTCCCTTCTCACCTCCATGACATCATCTCCGCATCTCTCGCTTCTGACTTCCCTG